TTTTCTGAGACAGAGTCTCGCTCTGTTGCCAGGCACCAGGCTGGAGTGCAGTGGCGCAATCTCGGCTCACTGCAACCTCTGCCTCCCGGGTTCAAGCAATCCTCCTGCCTCAGCCTCCCAAGTAGCTGGGACTACAAGCAAGCGCCACCACACCCAGCTAATTTTTGTATTTTTTAGTAGCGATGGGTTTCACCATGTTGGCCAGGATTGTCTTGATCGCCTGACCTCGTGATCCATCTACCTCGGCCTCCCAAAGTGCTGGGATTATAGGAGTGAGCTACCACTCCTGGCTGGTAATGGACATTCTTGGTGTCAATTGTTAATAATTATAGAAGAGATGCGCCAACCAGGAGTTGTTAGTTGAGGCTCACAGAGTGGGAGATGGCAACTGTTCCCCTCTCCAGGAGTTGTCTGTCTGCAGCTTCAGTGAGGACTGGAATGAGGACTGCTGGAATTAGGCAGGAAGGCAGCAGGTAGGGGACCTCAAGATGAAGAAGAGCCAGCCAGGCCTCATAAGCCAGACTGCCTGGTTGCCCATTACTCAGAATTTTCAAATGTTGTTCATATTTTAAAGGCCATTTTGCAGCCAGAGGTATGGGCTGGGATATTCAAGCCCAGGAGTAACCTTTCTGAAAGAAAGGGTAGGAGCTATTGAGAGGTAGGCCTTGAAGGCGAGCTAGGACCGATGCAGGACAGGAGGAAAGGCAAGCCTCTAAACTGGGGCTTAGCCCAGGAGGGTTCTTGGCTTCACCCAGGAGAGAATTCCAGAGTAAGCTGGTGGTGGCAGTGCACAGAGCAGCAGAGGTACTGCTCCTCGTGGAGCAGGGCTACTCATGGGCAATGTCCCCAAAGTCACAGTCCCCCAATATGAGGTAGAGCTGCACTCATATTTACACCCACTTTTAATTACATGCAAATTAAGGGGTGGTTTGTGTAGAAATTTCTAGAATGAGGGTAGTAATTTTCAGGTCCCCCTCAGGTTGTTGCCATGGAAAAGGGTATTAATATCTGGGTGTTGCCATGGCAATGGTAAACTGACATAGCACACTGGCGGGCGTGTCTTATGGAAAGCTGCTTCTCTGCTTCTGTGCCAGAACTGGTTTTTTTGTTGTTTTGGTTTTTTTTTTGTTTTTTTTTGAGATGGAACCTTGCTCTGTCATCCAGGCTGGAGGGCACTGGTGTAATCTTGGCTCACTGCAAACTTTGCCTTCCAGGTTCAAGCTATTCTCATGCCTTAGCCTCCCAAATAGCTGGGACTACAGGCACCCACCACCACACTTGGCTAATTTCTGTAATTTAGTAGAGACAGGGTTTTGCCATGTTGCCCAAGGTGGTCTCGAACTCCTGAGTTCAGGCAATCTGCCCGCATTGGCCTCCCAAAGTGTTAGGATTGCAGATGCGAACCACTGTGCCTGTCCTGCCCCTGACCTGTTTTGATTGGTCCTCAATTTGGTCCACTGTCTGAGCCCTGCCTCCACAGTAGAGTTCACCTTCCTGAGTCCAGTCCCACCTCCCACCTCAGAACTGTTAGGTAGAGATATGAAGGAGTAGGGAGAGAAGGGTGTTGCTGGAAGGGAGAGCAGCAGAGGCTGGAAGGAACATGGCATGAGGGGAATGGTGATGCCCTTAGCTGAAGACGCAAAGAGGTGTGTTGTGGGGATCCCTGAGAAAGATCCGAGGGGTACACTGTATCAGGCTCTGGAGCCCTGGAGTGGAAGGGCATAGGGAGGCTGTAGGAGCCATTGAGAGCACTGCAGCAGGGAGCAGCAAGGTGACAGTGGTGTTTTAGGAGGGCGAAGCTGGTGTTGGTACATGGGGTAGGCTGGATGAGGAGATCATGCGCAAAGCCTGAGAACTGGACTGACAAGTGGAGAGGCCTGAGTCCAAGAGCCAGGCAGGGGCTTCGGTGGGGTCAACCAGCTGGTAGAGAAATATGAATGGCTACATTCTTTTTTTATTTTCTTTTCTTTGAGACAAGTCTCACTCTGTCACCCAGGCTGGAGTACAGTGGTGTGATCTTGGCTTACTGCAGCCTCCGCCTCCTGGGTTCAAGTGATTCTCCTGCCTCAGCCTCCTGAGTAGTTGGGACTACA